GAGCGGCTAACCTGCTCCGGAGCAGGTTACGTTGCAGGCTAAGAGATCAACTCAGTGAAAGCACTGCCTGCTGACCAATCAGAGCTCAGTGTGCGGAGTTTAAAGCTATCAAGTCATATTACAGGAGAAAGGAAATACAGTTTAAAGGTCCCATGTCATGCTTTTCCGGTTATTACCCGTCCCCTTGTGTGTTATGAAGGTTTTTATGCATGTAAACGGTCTGCAGAGTCACACACCCTCAAAGTACACCCTGTAGCGAGTAAAACTCTAACACAGTCTATGCTGCCCCAAAACGCCTCGTTGGAGATTTCTCATTTTCCATTGTTTTCTTCCTGGGTACTGTGACGTGTGAATACCCAGAGGCCACACCCTCTGCCAGCCTTTCACGAAACAAAGCTTCCAAAACCTTTCAGCGATTCATGCCGGATATGTAGAGCGTAGGGCACTGAAGAACGATGCTGTTCCTACTTTGTTTGGACCAGCGGGAGATTCGGGTACACAACCTGTATGTATTCATTGTTGTTTGTGTATTTATGATGTTTAAAACAAACAAGGTATCTACCACGACTGTTTAAATGGGTAAACGTTTTTTGGACTACTACGTTGGGATGGCGGAGAAATGCTCTCCGCAGACCCATGCTCACAGCGTTATAAACCTTTTTCTTACTCAATATCAAGCCACACTTATTGTTTTTACTTCGGCTGTGAGTGTTTGTGTGTGCTCGGGATGAGCTTCGCTTGTTCTCGCTGTATCGCCGACACAGAAGCCTGTCCGCTCCTCGCAGCAGATCGCAGCAACGAGCCTCTCAACGTCCCGACCAATCAGAGCACACTGGGCTCATAGGGAGGGGGGGGGGCAGGAGCTCCAACAAGCTGTGTAGGACAGAGAGTGAATACACATACTTTACAGAGATGCTGTATGAGAAACCAATGTGAGTTTGGAAAATTGCACAATATAAATCTATTCTCGTAGACCTCAACAATGGAATTATGATCAGTAGAAATGGCCATGACATGGGACCTTTAAACTGCCGTTGCAGGAAAGACGGCCGGCAAAAATCACAGACTGTGTGAACGTGAACATTAATAGAATATCACCTCCCATCTTCAGAGCAATCTGACTATTATAACATTAGCGTTAAGAAAGCTTAATTAAATATCTGCCACAACATAAGTAACCGGATCAAAGTGTAGTATACGCGGCATATCACATCATAATGTATCATATATTTCCTTATCTGAGTCAGCTTCTTGAGCCGTATCTGGCCGTGCAACACTCACAGTGTCACTTACTGTATGCAGAAGTATTATTTTAAGCAACACATTAAGTTGACAAAACACTCAAGTCAAATGTGATTAAAGTCAGATCGTGTCTTAGACGGGGCAGTGATATCATAAACCTGTTAATGTACGCATTCAAACACTTTTTCTTTTACCAGCTGTATTCACCTTGCAGGTGCAGCTATGTGGCTTTTATCCTGGATAAAGTGTTTAAGTCATGGATGTTTAAAGTTTAACTTCTTCATATGTCTAATATTATTTATAGTTGACTTTTCATTCAGGAAGTATGACGCTGCGCTGTCAGTACGCTTCTCCATGTTTGTGATTGGTCGAATGCTCCAAATACCACCCCTTTCATGTGAACGCGCACTTAACTAGATAGGACACGGCTGGCTTGAGCGATCCACTTGATAACCAGCGTCGTAGGACCGTTTAGCGAGAGCGCGTATGTTTTGGATTAGGCCAACCGGCTAACTCAAACATATCCAGGTTAGGTTGAACCGGCTTCGTAGTACAGGCCTCTGGTGACTGACGAGCCCCAAGAAAACAACAGAAAAAAGGTTTCAACTATTTGAGTCAAGTGCACGCTAGACAATGAAAATGTAGTCAAATTGATTCAATATTATAAAATAATAATAATTATTATTAATATAATTTAATACAATTTACAACAACAACTTAAATACAATAAATAAATAAAGTAAATCATGCCGAAAAAACATAAATCAAAAGCTTGCCTGAATAGACATTCATCAAGTATTTGAGATCAATACATGCTTACAATAGAAATGATAGAAGGTGAAAATAGCTTGGAATAAAACTGTATTAATACAATAATAGAGCAGAATCAAATTGTTCAACAATACAATAAAGGTACAATACAGGTACAATACAATAAAGAATGTGATAACAATGTCAATACACCATTCTTAATCAAGGACCCTGCTGCGCACGTTTTACACTTGGAGCTCAGAGAATCCCAGCTGAAAGCTGACTCAGCAGGTTTAGTGCACTTTGGAACAACTCACAGCCTGGAGCCGAGGAAGAGTCACACCTTCAAATCCTCACTAAAAACGCACCTGTTCACCATGGCCTTCGGACCCTAGTCCTTTCCTGGTCCCCTGGCTTCCTTTATTTTATTTTACTTTGTCTTGTTTTGTTCGCTCCTCATTGTCTGTTTTGTTTTGTCTGTCCACCATGTACAGCGACCTTGGGTCCCGTGAAAGGCGCTTTATAAATTCCATTTATTATTATTATTATTATTATTATTATTATTATTATTATTATTATTATTAAGATTGATGCAAAACAAGTGACATTTGACCTTTTTAGAGAGGTTTAGCAAAAAAAAAGCACTTCTGGAGTCATTTGGGTGGATTTTCCATATCTCTGGCCCCCCTTGGTCGATTTTGCTGATTGACATCTCTTTCTAACCGTCAGAGCCAATGGAATCGAGGGAAAGTTCCACATACACACACAGTTTACCAAATAAGGAGTGATAGAGACGCGTAGAAAAACCGGAAGCTGCGCTAACCATGGCTACCATTAGCAGCAAATTTTTCTTCTCCGATTTTTGCATAAAAATTGAATTATGGATTATCAATAATTTTTTCAAAGTGACAGACACATTGGATTAACCTATGGATTAACCTTCAGCCGCGTTTTTTCTTGTTTAAATGCCATTGAACACGACTTTGATCAGAATAACAGCTAAGGTGAGCATATCTCCGTGTTTTGCTACGTCGTGTGTTGTCTGTATTTGCTTCCCCTGTCACGAGTTCTGATCGCTCAGTGATGATCCTTATATTTCTATAATCTATGGACTCTCAGGATGTTATCTAAGCTTGTTTGTGCAGATCCAATAAGTATATCGATCAGTGTAGCTAGAGTTCTGTGCTAATGGCCTTAAGATTGTTTCGCTCGAAGCTAATTGAGAGGCAGAGCGTTAGCTTTGTGGGTTTAAAAAAAAAAAAAGATCAGTTAGCTCAGTTTCTTCCCGTTACATGGATATAAAACGAATAGTTTATTGAATATTAAGATGCCCTCAGACGCTGTTTCCTGCAGATGACGCGTTTTTCCCCCGGTATCGGGTGTGCGGGGTAGAAGAGTAACCCTCATAAGTGTAATGATTAGAAAAATAGTGTTTACATATCTTTACAGCTTTAAAACCCAACTGCTGGGAACGATTTTAACAATAGTTTATCAAAAAGGAGGAAGCAATTGCTGTTACACTTAACTCTCACATTTTCTTTTTCCCATTTAACTCTTTTTCTTCTCCACTGATTTCTACTTGTGGCTGCATTGACCTTACTTTTAGATTCATGTCTGTGTACCACTTTGTACATAGGTTTTGAAAATGCTATATGAATCAAATGTTTTATTCTTTTTTGTATTATTATTATTATGACTTCCAGAGGTTGCAGCAGGCTCACAGGTAGAGCTCCCTAAGATTGAAGTCAAACACAGTAATAAACACGGACTGGCAAAAGATCAACTCCATCTGTAACTGGTGAAGCGTGGATCATGGAAGAAACACACGGTGGGCAGATATGTGAAAAAGACTTCACCATCTTGATCAGAACAGAGCCGCTGATAACAACTCGCCCACAGTGACAAATACATAGCTTTTACCATCACCAGACATGCTGACGGGGACCATTCATGAACAGCTCGATGAATCACAATCAGAATTCCTTTACAATTTAAATGTACATTTACAGTGTTACAGCAGAAGTGGCATAGCAGGTAACAAATGCAAGCAATAATAAAGAGTGAGCTTACTTTTTAAATATGGAGAAGAAATGTTTTTACATAAAAGTGATGCACAGTACAATTACAAAACAAGTTTAGCAGAAAAAGTGTTTATATTGCATAAGGGAAATGACACACAAGAAAAACATAGAACCTCTTGGCTTCTTGTTACAATACTTGTGTTTTGTAAACGATCTGTCCTTTATACCGAAGTTAAATAGAACTGTATATGCCAGAACTACTGTAAAACTAATATTACTCATCGTGGTGCAGTCTACACATTACAATGTTGTTTGTGTATTCTCCAGACTATTAAGCTTTTCAACGGTCCAGCTTGCATGGTGTGTATTTTAGTTTTATTTTCTTTGTGGCTACATGGAACAACATTTGGGGTTAAACGTTTTTGTTTACTTGTCAAAAAGGCAATTTTACACCCAGGAACATATAAGGGCGGTCCAGAGGCCCCTGACCTCCCAGCGTTCACAGCACTGAAGGGCCAGGATGATTGAAGACCCCTGCTCTGACCCATGGACCGACACAAACCCAAAGCATGCAGAATTCTGCGTTTAACTGCATCTCCCTCTGAAGCTGTTGTTGGACTAGTGTTGGTTCCTTCAAAGAACCTCAACATGTCGTAGTTTTAAACTTTCCGACTTCACATTAGAGATATAGTCAAGACATTAAATATGTATATTGGAACTGGAATCCAATTTAATGAATGTAATGCATAGAGTGTATCTAAACGATTGAATGGGATAAGGCACTCTTGCTGATGTAAATCCACAAGTGACAACTAAGTAAAAGGTAACAACAGATTAAAACAATCGAAACAAACATGTTAGGAAACAATTCCACTGTTTCAATTCGTTGACTAGGCTACTTAATGTAAAACATCTAACTTTGTTTGGTTTGTTAGTTTGTAGAAATATTTCCGACAGCCCCTGAAGGCAGCATTCCACTTCTGTAGCCAGAGCAGAGTCCCCCCCCCTGCCCCGAGTGAAGGAAAAAGCAACGGGAGGAAAGACCATGGAGGGAGCTGGAAGTGTTAGCTACTTTGAGAAACTTTTTCCTTCTTAAGTTTTCTGCGAAAATCAAAGCGCCTCAATGTGGCGACTTCCGGTGTGTATTTATGTTCTGGGTAAACCTCGTAAACCTTAACATTCAAACATACACAGACATTCTGGCCGCGGACAGTTAGCACAACCCGACCAAAGTTAGCCTGTCTCGGCTAACTTAGCCTGTCTCAGCTAACTTAGCCTGTCTCAGCTAGCAGGAGAGGACAAAAAGGCGAGTGGAAACAGAGCGAGCTGAAAGTGGCGCCGAGGCGTCAGGGATCCAGTAATGCTGCGGCTCGGGATTAACTTCAGATACGGATGAGAAGCAGATAAACCGAGAACTACTGCGAGCCGGACGACCGCTGCTATGCTGGGGGGGATTCACGGCTCTGGCAGCCCGCCGGAGTCCCGAGGGGGGCCGCACTCGGTGCTGTGGAGGCTCGGGGGCTTCTTCTTCCTCCTGCTGCTGGAGGGGGTCGGCGGCCTGGCCAGTCCGAGCGCTGCCTCCGGAGACAACAACAACAACAACAGCCCGAGTGTTAACATTTACATGAGTGTTGAGGAGGTGAAGAAGCTTTTGGGTAAGGAGGCCATCTGAATCCAGCTGTCTGCAAAGTGTGTGTGTGTGTGTGTGTGTGTGTGTGTGTGTGTGTGTGTGTGTGTGTGTGTGTGTGTGTGTGTGTGTGTGTGTGTGTGTGTGTGTGTGTGTGTGTGTGTGTGTGTGTGAGATGCAGCTGTGTCAGTGTGTCCCTCACATCTGCATTTTTACTTCTAAACAGAGGTGGGAGAAGTACTCAGATATTGTACTTGTACCAGAGTGTAGGAATACTTTGTTAAAGTAAAAGTCCTGCATTCAAAAAAGTAAAAGTAGAAAAGTATTATCATCAAAATATACGTAAAGTAATCATTGTGCAGATTGGTCCATTTCAGAGTAATATATATGTTTTATAATGATTGATCATGAAAGTGTTCTCAAAGCTGGTAAAGGTGCAGCTAGTCTGAATGACTTTGTATACTGCAGGGTAGCTTGTGAATTTACTCCAGGTGGAACTAAAGTCTGATTTAACACTTGATTATATTTCACATCATTCATCCACATCTGTAAAGTAACTAAAGGTATTAAATACATGTAGTGGAGTAGAAGTACAAAGTAACATAACATGTAAATACTCAAGTAAAGTACCTCAAAATTGTACTGGAGTAAATCTACTTGGTTACTTTACACCACTGATTCTAAAACACCAGTGAACTGTAGCACAGCATTACAAGTCCCTGTTATGTTTCAAAGAGCAGCGTTATGTTGTAATGTAATGTAATGTTAATGCTAGTCAGTTCTAATAAGGGTGTAAGAAGAGCATTACACGTTGAGCCAGAGAACAGAACTTCTGCTGTAAATCTGTAAAGTGAACTGCAACACATACATGGAAACGTCCCCCTTGCTGCTCTAAGTTGCACATTTGTCTTTGGCATATTCTACACATGATACATAACAGAACAAAATACTATATCTAATGTACAATGCCTCGTGACTCGCATGGTAAATATAGGATGAGCATTCACCCTTCAATATAGGCATACACAAACAAATTGCAGACAGTCATTTATTTGTATATGGATATTAGCAAGACTATAGATGTAATGACTCATGACAAATACTTATTTTCATTTAATATTTCCTCACACTAGAAAGCCAACCATTCCATCATTAGGAAACCAGGCTGGAAACTTGAATCAGCTTCACAGCTGTTGTGATCAACAAAGGTATGCTGATGTGTCACCAGCATTTGTAGAAAGGAGGAAGTGAACACACCATACATTTCAAACTACCAGCAGAGTGACTTGTGGCTGAGTATCCGTTTAGGTTTGGCTGTGCAGTGCTGCAGGGAGGGTAGTCTGCTATAGTAAGCAGCTTTTTTTAAATATTAAAAACATAAGGTCAAATAATATGATGTAACTAATAGTTACATCATATTATATATATATAGTTATTAACTATATATATATAATATGATGTAACTATATATATATATATAATATGATGTAACTATACTATATAACTACTCATCATAGCGATAGTTCTTATACATTTTTTTGTATATGAAAAATGTGCTTTACATTGACTTACTATAGCATTTAAAATGCTCTATCATGTATTAATTAGTGATCTGAATAATATATTATTCAATAATATTATATCACTGTAAAAGAAGCAGTTCTGCATATTGAGTACTTTTGCTTTCGATACTTTGAATACATTTTGTCGTTAATACCTCTTAAGTAACTCTTTGAATGCAGGACTTTGTAATGGAGTATTTCAGACTGGTCTTGTTGAATGTTAAAACCAAGTGTAATATATTTATAATAGTGTCAATCTCCAGCCAGTCCATGGATTGGTCCTGAACAGTTAATTCAGGGTTTAAGATGTGTTCAGGGTGCAGTTTGGAACTAGTCATTTCCAGCGTGCATGCCACTTTACAGTCTAATGACCGGGTTCAAGTGCTACAACGTCTCTGTGAGGGAGGAAGCTGATGTTGCACTTTCTCAAATTGTGCTGCTGTTAATAAATGTATCATCATCGTTGTGGAATCAGCATTTATGCATCACCTGTAATTAAGTGGAGATTTTGCCACATTTGCTTCGTTTTCAATTCTTCAAGGAGAAAGTATAAATAGTGTCCAGGGTTGGAACAGGACGTTTTGTTGGAGAAGTTAGTCCCGCTGTATTATGCAGAGATATTCAATGCTGCCAGCTCAATCATGAGCATCCTATTGGTGCAAACTCATCATGGTGCAGTGTTTCCCCTAGCATGGAGTCATAGCAGCGGTGCTAAGGCACGCGGGCCCAGCAAAGTGTGTGCGCGTTCCAAGTGCTCCTCCGTGGCGATGACGGCTTGCGTTAAAAATAATAATAAACATATTTGTAAAGTGGGGGGACACAAACGGGATTTCGAAAAGTGGGGGGGGCATTTCCCCCCTGTCCCCAGTGGAAATTACGCCATGCGTGTGTGTGCGTCAAGTGCAATAAATAAATATGCAAGTTGCAACACACAAAGAGTAAAGCTCTGCCCCTCATGTGCTGTATAGGCTGGCATGAGGCTGTTCAATGGGGCTGATGTGTTGTGTAGATTCTGCCAGAAGGAAAGGTTAAACTCCTTATGAAGCGGTGAGCTGCCGCTCCACATTGCTTTTCTTCCCGAGCGCCACTTATTATTTTAATTTATTAAAACAAATAAAAATAAGCAGCTGTGCCGCTGCTGAATGATGTATATAGGGGAAACACTGTGGTGGATAAACCAGATCTTGTGATGCTTGAAAATATGTAAACAAGTAAACTGGATGATTTTGGTTTATGGGACTTTGACAAGAGCTATACTCATTGTGTAAAGGTATTGTGACTCTGCTCTGTTTGAAGCAGTATTATCGTGGCTCCTGTCTGTAATGTGTCTTGTGTTGAGTCCAGCATGCTGTAGTTCATCTTTCTGCTGCCAGAGCAGGGCCTCGCTTGTGCTTTGCTTGAAACCTTTCTGGAGAAATGTCTTGATGTTTGTCAAGTACATCTCTGAGCTCAAAGTATGTGTGGATAGAATCTTTCATGATGCAGATGCAACCGTAGGAAACAACATGTTGGCGGGGGGAAACACTTCCCATTGGCAACTTAATGCTAGAGAGCCTCGCTGCAGACAGATCCAGAGCTCTCCTCAAACGTCAGACTCATCAGTGTAGACTACAATCATTTCATTACATTTTGTACATATATTGCAGATTATTGTTATTTAAATGTATGTATTATGTGCGCATGTCGGACATGTGATACGGTATATTAATTGTACAAAACATTGAATTGGTGAATATAGTGAAAAGATATGTGAAATCTGATCTGACACCCCCAATGAAATGTAAGTGTTTAAGTGGGGAGTTTCCTTTAGAAAGATGTATTCTTCCCCCACTGATTACAGTCTGAGCTCAACAGCTTTTGAAGTGTTAGTCACCAAATATAGACACTTCCAAAGTGCACAGGCTTTCCTCTGCTCCAGCCGTTCAGATGCATGCTCTGACAGACATGCTACAGCCTCCATAGACATAAACAAGTAATGTCATATAATAAAATGGTTCTCTGGACCAAATAGCGCTTTTGTCTGTCATCAGGAAGTTCTGGACAAACATCTTGTATTTAACATGAGGTTCTGGACGCGTGGCTGTAAGCCTGGACCACGTTCTGCCCGTACGGCTGCCAGGACTTTAGAGGGAGTGTAGCCTCAGGGTGTTTGGCCATGTTTGGATTTGCTCAGTGGAGTTTCCTTCTGCATTTAGACAGCTAATTAAAATGGTGTGACATTTAAAGGTGTCCGAACGTTGTGTCTCCATTAAAACTGTGTTTTGAAAGAGTGCCTTCGCACTCTTTCGCACAACCGTTCTAGTCCCAAAGCATGCTCATATTGTCTATAACACTGATGAAAGCAGTGTCAACAAATAGTTAGTCACCTTAGGCTGGTGGTTGCGAGGTCCATAGGGACTTGGCTTGGGAACCGGAAGGTCACCAGTTCAAGTCCCGAAAGACCAAGTGATACCGAGGTGACAATGAGCAAGGCACCCTACACAGCTCCCGTACATATGGCAGCCCACTCCTAACACTAGGATGGGTTAGATGCAGAATGTCATTTTCCCCTCTGTGAGACTAATAAGGGTATATCAAATACATTGTTTTTACAGTGCACAGGTCAGTGATGCCAAGGCATGACAGGTCAGATTTCTGAGCATCCTTTGACCATGTTTAACACTTTAGCATATCCACTCCCCTCTTTTGACATGTCTTCAAAGTCATTGTCATAATCCGTTTTCATCCAAATGTTCAGTAATAGAATTGTATTTCCCAGGAAACATTGGGACATTATAATTGTGAAGATGATAGAATGTCTTGATGTGGTCTCTCTTTGTTTTAAGCAGATGGCCCCTCCATTCAGGATTTCATTTTGATATCTTTAACAAACCACCTGACTCTCCAGGGGTTGTGAGGAACAGGAAAAAGTCATGCCTGAATTAAAAGAGGGTTTTGCTTGCACATGGTGTTTGACTATGGATGAACTGCAGGCAGCATCCCTGATTGCTTTTGCACATGACTAATGGAGAGTGAACTGTCTGAAAGGCCAGATCTCCCTGTGCATTCCTACCCTCAGCTCCCAGATCAGCTGTGTCTCAAACCCACATCCTGGGCCTGAATTGTGTAGCAGCTGCCAGCTCAAAGTTACTTGCCATAGAATCAGTTTTTACAAGACGGCAGTTAAAATGTACTTCAGATTTTGATGTAACGCTGGTCAGATCAAACGTTTTCTTTTTAGATGCCAAGGGACCTTGTTGATCCAATCTGCAGTGTGTACAGTTCAATATTTCTGGAGAGTAATGAAGGCCAAGTATGGATAATACATATAGTTGGTCCATCAGATTGTAAATAAAATAATATCAGGTATAGTCAGTCCCATGGCAGAGTCTGTGAAGCACTACAGAATGACCATCTTCATTTTCTAGACCGACCGACCGCACTTTGACAAATTCATGTCTTACTTTGTATAACCAAGAGTTTAAAA